GTCAGTTATAAATTAACAATAGAATAGATAAAAAGATTTATCAAAACATCCTTTAAACTTAAACCCTTCTCCAAACTAACACATCTTAATGAATAAAACATAGAATTTAAAATATTGCCTATACAGCACAAATTTTGTCAAGCCACTCATTCTCCATTGTAAAAGACATTTCACAATATAACACTGCGACATCAAGACATCATGAAATATTCATGATAATGAATCAGATTTATATACATATCAATTGTTTCCAAACCAATAGTATTGTAATAATAATAATAATAATGAGAATATTTATAACGCGCCTTTTCCAGGCTAGATATCCTGCTCAAAGCGCACAATCTGATCATTATTACCCCGGATAACCCAAGCTGCCTGTTAGGCGCTAGAAGGTTAATAGTCTCACGACTTATTTCACCAGGTACCCATTTCCTGCTGGGTGAACAGAGGCAATTGTGAACAAACTCACTTGCCTAAGGTGAGACCACATGTATCACATGTGCTTCGTTGTGGGGCAGGACTGTCATTTACAATATCTATGGACACACTGATACTAAAACTCGTAAGTTGTGCATTTCTAAAGCACAAAAATAGATACAAATATCATTGTCCCTAAGTGAAAATATCCTGTTCTTTGGCACACAATAACAGCGGATACTTTGTGCTGGTGCTGAGAAGAGGCCGTGACCTAAATGGCTGTTGAACATATTGAATTGAAATTCATACCAATGGTTTGAATGCAGTCTTCAACAATTCTTTTTGGGTGGTGTTTTAAGACAACCTAAGCATTACAACTGTCGAAAGTCTAGTTTGGGAGCTTTGATCATGAACAGACTAAGATCGCTTTTCACAGAGGTATCAGGTATGCTAATGCACAAGCAACCTACCTTCACTTAAAACTTCTTCACTACAAAACTTGACAGTTTGAAATATTCAGCAACATCACTGCTGGGGCACCAGAAATGGGTTTCACACATTGTACCCATATTCATGAAGAAGAGCGCTTTAACCACTAGGCTACCCCAAAACATGAAGAAGAGAGTAGAACAAAATTAATGTATGACATCTTCTATGGGGTTCCTTCCCAAGAAAGAGAATCACTTCTACAAAAAATCCTTAATCATAATCAAGGTTTGCTACACTTAACTTACAAGAACAATTTTAACATATTTTACAAACAGATGTCCAGAAACAACCTCCAAGATATGTCATAAATACATTCCCTGGTATTATGATAGTTTTCTCACTCTTCATATTGTTTCCAGGTCATCATGAGAAGGAGTGTGCTCGTGAACCTCATCCCGAGAAAAGCAGGATGTTTTTCCAAACAATAATGTTATAATGTACCTCATTCATTTGTGAAATGGATCAGTGTAGTTTTAATATTTATGCCCACTGCAATTATAGCTGAATAAATAAACGCAATAATAATACATGTTATTTGACAACATTAACAAAATATTCTATTTATTATATTTTGATCATTGTTTATAAATGATCGAGACTTTGAGTAAGTCTGCATTCCAGGCAAAAGTGATATTCTACTCAGTGAAATAACATGTTATTCTACTCAGTAGTGTTGGGAATTGGTTGAAATCTCACAATTGATGATTGCTTCATTACCAACAAACAATCATCGAAAAAAATTGGTTAGCATCATTTTTCAGATTTTCCTATCCAGGTTGTAATTACAGATATGTATAACATGATGCAACTTGCTACTTTAAAGTGATGACTAATATATCATGAACATAAACTTCCTGGAGTCCTAGAGAAATATTCAGTCATGACTTTTCAGTAAGTGAAGTGAATTAAACACGCTTTCAGGTCCTGACAACTTCTAAGATACGCCCTGTCAAGTATTTCAAAGACTAAAGCAGTCCAAAATCGCTTATGTTCGATAATGAGAAAATGTGATCGATTGCTTTGGTCGCTTGGTCACTGCACCAATAATAATCGATACTACTCAGTGAAGATAACATGTTTATTTTCACCAATATAAAAGAAAAAAATAAGAAAATGGCAACTGAGCCCTTTTAATCTTGAATCAGTAAATTCATAACTATCCCAAGTAATATGATTCAGCAGAGAGCAAAGCCTGTCAAGAAGATCGAAAATGGCAACTGAGCCCTTTTTGCACGTAGAAGCTAAATTAGCTGGTTGTTCACAGCTCTGTCAAGCAGATCGAAAAGGAGGCATTCCGCGGTCTGTAAACCCTCCTCAAACACATTGATCACTGTCACATGACCAAATCCAATGCTAAAGTCCCCGTCAAACGATCCTACAACTCTTCTAAGATGTTAACCAATACTAGCATGCTGCATCTTGAGCATCTTAAAATATCACGCAAACATCTGCACTAGTCAACAGCTTGTCTTAGGATCTACAGTGGGCTTGCACCAAGCAGAGTTTCCATCTAGTCAAAGTAAATATTGACTGTCAACCAACACACTGCAGATATCTGGGAACCATCAAGTACCTGTTCACACACCTAAAATCATGACGAGTCAAAAGGCGATCCCTTGGAAGGATAATCCCCTTAGAAGTTCAAGTCTGTTACTAATGCACTGGTTGACAATGCCATGAAATAATTTTCGGAATGACAGCGAGAAATTCCTAACCTGACTATGACATTTAACAGATTAAATTCACTCCACTGAAAATGTGCATGCTAACATTAATATGAATGCAATTCTGCTTGTATGCTCTGGTACTGGTACTAATCACATAGACATCTTGGTTTATCATCTATCTAAACTAGAAATCAATAAACAAGGATATCTTTTCTATGTGTGACCAAAATTTATCAGGATAATTTGAAAAACTATCATGCAAACAGAACCATTTACTTGAAAATTTTCACATTTGATGTGACAAAATATGAGGATTTGGAATTGATATGCTTTATGCCCAAACACTTGTAGACAATGTCAATTTCTGAATACTACAAATATATTGAAATGCTTATATCCGACATCTTACACTAACTTATGCAGCATAGCTACTGCTTTAGCCAGCAAACAAGATGATAACCATGATAAATCATAGTTTATATCCTCATGATGTCTACAGAAGATAAATACATCCATAGCACAACAGAGCCTATGCATGCTTGAGTTTCTGGCAACAGGAAGAATCTCCACATTTTCTGCATTATTGGAGAGCACAGCAAAACATTCACATGAGGTCATAAAAATGCACTGTGACACAAAAGTATTGTCTAACAATGAACATGATGAATGTAAAGTAAAAGAAAAATTGTTTAAGTGTGGCAGACAAAAAAAGCTTTCTTGAGGCTCAAGCAAAACATACCTCAGCAGATCATAAATACATAACCTGCACAACAGGGGAGGTTTAGAAAACTGCACAACCTCATGGATGCTCTAGACCACAACGCCAACAAATGAGATGAGGGTACAGTTCATAACAACCATGCTGGACTGTAAAACATTTGCAAATGAAAAACAAGGATTCTAAGCTGAAACAGACATTAAATGTAACCACTTTTAGTGAAGTTACCGGTATTTACCGATTCAATCACACACACAAAAAACCATAAGATATTGTTCATGCAAATCTCAGGTCTTGTCCAGGGCCCCGTTTCACAAAGCTGTCGTAAGCCTAAGATCTCATAACTTTTCTTGTGGCATTCGTACCTCCTATGTTACAGCATAGGAGGTACGAATGCCACGAGAAAAGTTACGAGATCTTAGGCTTAACAAAACTTTGTGAAACAGGGCCCAGATGTGAGCAACATGGGGTTTGTAAGTACCTCCCATAGGAATGTATAACTTGTCTATTGGAAGACATCATCTGGAGAGCACCATTTCTTGTTATTGTTACATGGATGCCCATACATTCAGAAAATATATGAGCATACGAAGCAGTGCAGAATACTGCTTACCAGTCACAAAAATGCAAATACCAAAACAGGCTCGATTCTGAGAACAGAATTTTCTCTCAATCCTGGTATGATTTTCTTTTGAACACAAATTCTACTGATGCTATAAAATATATCTAAGAAAAAGAAACAAGCTGATTGCTATATGGCTGAAATAATTCTGATGTGACAAAACTTTTAACTCCGTCACTCACTCACTGAAACACAATTTACTCTCATCATAGATGTGTTTAACACAGAACTTAGCAATAGTCCAGCTCATCATGGGCATGGATACAGTTTGAGAAATTAAGGACCATAACATTACAAAAAAATGGTAATAGGACAACACAAAACAAAACTTTGCAGATTCTGATACCTTTCAGTATGGACTTACAGTAACAAATTATCAAAAATGCAAATTCAACTTCCATTTTTTAATGCACAAGTAATAATTCCATAATTATCGTTGTTTGTTGTTCACTGGACTCAGCAATATTCCAGATATTGTGGTTTTTAATTTTATATGCATCAACACCATTTGGAATCCAATGACATGCAATCAAACGAATCTGACCACCCAATCTTCTTAGTCACTTCATATGAGAAGCACTGGTTATTGGCTTTTTGGGGGGTTGTTTTTTTGTGAAAACTTAGTGAAAACAGATTTTATCCAGTTTAGCAAAATAACCTTTGAATTCATTGCTGCAAATGTATACAGATTACTGTCACTGCATTTAAAGGGCATTGAAGATACCGGAGCACATATGAATCCCTAATGGAAGCTAAACAGTGTGATTTATCGAAACAAAATCAACTGTCAAAATATCTCTTATTTGGACAAAGGCCTAGTCTGTCTGCTGTGTTGATGAATCAGCCTGAACTCCTTACAGGGCACTTTCTCGACAGCCTGGAGTTCCGTTCCACCCTCGTCAGGAATCAGTTCTTGGAGTAACGGATGGAATGACAACTAAATCATAGCATTTTTATTGGGAATAAGCATGGTCGTATATGAAGTGTCACAGTGTATACGTATATTCCAAGATTTTTGACAGGAAACATGTGAAAGTCAGAGCACAACGGATTCGCTTCACTTCCGACAAGGCCGATAAAGACTTACCTGCTGCGATTGTGTCGACGAGATCGAATTTGGTTGAAATCTTAGGGTAATCCTTAAGTTTTCTGCCACTTAAAGTAACCTCCCCTGTATGCTGCGCCTCCTCGAAAACACGTTCTAACGGCCTGCCTATTACAGGGGGGCTTTGAGAGCCCGACCCGTAAGTGGCCGCCATTTTACAACTTCAGCAGTTCGGCTTGATGCGCATGCTCCACCATGATTCTGTCTCTGATACTATTTCCCTGCAACAAATTGTTAAACGCGCACCTGCTAGCTTCTGCTTGGGCATCTGGAGGACGAATGATAAAACCATATAGCTACATTGAACACCGAAACAAAGGCACAGACAAATTATCTTAGATTTATTCAGTGTAAATAAAGATTTACTATATACGGATAAACTTCGGCAATTCATACACTCTTACACGTATCGTAATAAAGTAAATCGAAAGCCAAAAAGGAAAGAGTACTCGTTCTTTATTTTAGATGACAGCTGTTCCGCTAATAGAATGTATAAGTTAACATTTATTTATTTTTACGATATCGTAGTATATATTGTCCTGTTTTTAACTTTTCCGATGTTTAGTATTTCCAGGAAGTTATCGAGATATACGTTTTCGCTAATAGTAATACATATAATTCAGTCAGAATTCAGCAAAATAGTGAGCGGGTGAGTGAGAACTTTCAGCCACATCGACATTGTTTCAGCTATATCGTGAGTAAAACAAGTTATTAATTCATAATAAATATAGCAAATCTGTCAACGAAGGACAGTAAAAAACAAGTAGAACATCACAAATATAAATGTAAAACTAGCAATGAAATCTTTTAAAAAGGCAATATAAAAACTGGCTATAGATCGCCAGCAGCTGAAGTTAGATCACCATACCTGGGACCATGGGGACTTACAGTACTTTTGCTTCCTGCATGGACCCTAGGTGGATTTACACCAGACCTTTAGCCATTACGTAAAGTAAGAGACTTTTTCTCATATTAATTGTGTCACTTCTATATTTAGTAAGACCTCCCAATTCTGCAAGCAGGCTTGAATACGCCTGGGCACATTCATCAAACTTTGTAGCGAGTCGATGCTGGTAGTGTCTCACTATTTAATCACTTCGCTCCTCATATCCTCGATGTTGTTCAAACCTGTTTGGATGATTTTGCCTTCCATGATTCCTAAGCCTGTGTATTGGCAAATAAATTGTATTGCAATATATTGCGATTCTGGTACCCGTTTTGCCAGACGTATTGCGATATATTGGGAACTTATAAGTGTTTGACAGTGAGTGGCACTAATAGCGCATGTCGATCCTATTTTCTACACTATAAGTCCCTAAACATATATGATATGGTTCTTACAACAGCAACCTCAGAATTAGGTTGCATAGTCCTGGATTCTATTATCTTTATTGTATTACAGTATGCTGTTTTGTAATTGAAGGGAAGGAAAACATTTATTGTGAATGAAAGTGTGTAGATTTTAATTTAAACCGCAAAGATAATCACAAAAACTTCATATTTGTTCTTTGCCCAATATATCGGTTCTCAGAAAAAAATATTGCAATACGTATCGTTTGAAAAGCCCATACTGTCTAACGGCCTCAGTCAGATGTGGGCGTCTCGGGATGATACGGGGCAAGATATGGAAAAGGGAGGGTCATAATATTTTTATCACTTAATACTAAGCAAGCAATAATCTATCATTTTTAAAAACCTTTTATACTCTACAAACATATTTCACTCAAACACTCAAAAAACGACCAATTTTTATTCAACATTAATTCAACAACTGAATGTCATTTGCACACGTTCATTCATCGTCGGTGTCGCTGTCGATGGAACATCAATATAAACTTTAAAAATTGTAGGGGTGACTATTACGGGGGAACTAACTATTGCGATAGCGATAGTCTATTGCAACTGTAAATGTCTCATTTGAAGTCATTTCCCACATGAATGTATAGTTTGTATGAAATAACATAAAGCTGATATAGTTTTAGTCTCTTTTAATAACTGATAAGAAAACTTGAAACCCAGATAAAGTTTGTTTAAGAGGAGGTTCCAGGGGCGGATAACTGTAAATCAAAGTGAACCTATCTGGTACTTCCTGTATTTTACGCTGCGCATCAACGGAAGTCATATACTGAAACTATCGATAGTCACACATACTATCGATACATCGATAGATTTTCGTTTCTACCATCGATTAATTGCTATCGGAGACTCAACAATTGCAATCCATCGTTACAGCCCTATAAAATTGATAAGAGTAGCAATAGCAAAATCATCTTTTAATATGTAAATCAAAAGCGACATGTATTATCAATGAAAACTTGAGTTCTCACCTGAAATAATGCCGATGTGACGTAAAGCCCAACTCAACTCAACTCGACAGATGTAATGCATGCATAGGCTACACCAATTAACACCTATTAACAAAACGTGCAGAAAATAGAAAGAATTCGCTTGACTACTGAGCTAAGAGTGTATTAAATGCACCACCAACAGCAAAGCAGGGCGGGGTGGGAGGTGAAATATTTTAAGGAACCGTGGCATGATTGCGTTGTTGGACTTTTCGTGACAACTGTGTAGCAGATATTTGGACTTTATGACTGTCCTAGGTGGTGACGTCACAAGAAAAGTAAGATATACCTATGTTACCCACCTATCTGTCAAGAACAAGTGAAGTATACCCCTCAAGTATAGTATCAGATTTGGGGCGGTGGGGTAGCCTATTGGTTATAAAATGTTCGCTCGTCCCGTCGATTTCCCACATCCTTGGTACAATGTACCCTTCTGACTAGTGTCAGGTAGCTTTAACGGCTGAAGCGATGACTACAGAGTGCCATTAGAAAGAAGTCAAATCTATTATATTTGGCTGGGATTATATTTCTTCAGTTAAGCACAGCTTCTAGTACGTTGTTCAGTTGATTCCAATCCGGGAGTCGAACTCAGACTTTCAGAGTATGGCAACTTCTCGCCAGCACAGAAACACGGGGTACACAAAGTACATGGTCCAGACTACCAGTTATTAGACTTCCATTTTTGTGGAAACTGCCGTTACAGAGTGGTTTAGATCGCTGACTTTGTGTGTTGGAGTCTATATCACACACTCATCGATGTATTTTTGTGTTTATAACAGTTTTACTGCTATTATCACATTTATTTACGCTTTAATTAGATGCTCCGTAAAAGTCAAACGTTTATATTTTGAAATTTCGGATTTGGGGCAACAGTCCTGGGCGAGATGGGTGAACATGTTTCAGCGTTTGTTAAATCTTTCGTGCATGCAGTGTTATGCCATTTATCTTGTCGAGAACTGTGCCCTGCTGTCTTGTTGTACCATTTGTCATGACAGAAGACAGAAGTTTGCTTTCGATGGAATATAGAACTTTCGCTTTGATATTTCTCTCCTCTCCCCTTCCCTTTTATCTAGTTTATTCGTTTATTGTTGTCAAAAACAAAAATAATTACAAGTCTTGCCCAACAATGTCTAAATCATGGTGAAACGCCGCCTTGATTAATATAGACTATGTTTATTCTTATTATTTTTGAAAAAAGATTTCTATATTTTGGTGCCTTGGTGGTTCCTCTGGCGCTGGATGTTAGTATATTATTAACCGTGTCATGGTTCAGGTAATTATTTATCAATCCCTAAATTAAATTCAATGAAAAAATGCTTCATCATGCAAATTGAACATAGAGAATATAAATAGAAACTTTTCGAAAAAAAGAAAGAAATATTAATAGGGTATATAGTTTTTAATGTAAAGGTATCGAAGAAATCCGATGTGTGAAAGGAAGGTGACAGGAGTAGCCTCCCTTGGACAACAATGGTTTCATTGTTACACTATTGTGCATAACACGTGTCCTAGAAAATTGCACGCAATCGGTAAGGACAAAAAATAGACATACTAATAATTTACAATATGCTATATATTTACAAAATAGATAGTTTTTCATATTGTAATAAGAGGAAAGGTATCGATCCAATATTCGGTCACGAAACAGGAAGTTTTCAATCAAGGTTCGTCAACAGAGTTATCTGTCCTTGGTTCAATCCAAAGGTTCCAAGATCGGCGACGATTGTGATCTGAAACCTTGCGTTCCCTGCACGATATCACAGGTTGAGTAGGTATTGGTATGTTTTTAAACACGTGCGTTAATGTCATCAATTCTAACGATAGCAGTCAACAAGCAAGGCAATGATCTCACACACGTGTCCATGTCTAGGGCTCATGTGGAAAGTTAAAAGTGAGAATGCGAATTGAGAAATCATAACATTTTGATCATATTTATCGATTCCAATTTACAATCGATATCCCCAATATACACGCTGTGTGGGCTTCTATACTTCATGAAAGCTCTTCAACAAAAGCGCACTGTATTTAAAAAAATATGAATCTATGCTGTGAAACACAGAGATGAGAACAATGTCAAGTGGTTCTTTGGACATATGATTGATTGTTGAACTTAAACGACATATTTGATACAACGAGATAGAATGAAGAAGCGTACACTGTCTGGTAGATTAACAGCAAACAGCAATTTCAAAAGCGACTGTGTGATAAGGTGCACATTTGCAAATAAATCTATGACCTACATTATGGCAACTGTAACTTGCATCCTGAATGACTTAAAATCTTTTGTTTATACACTCAATGATAGCTTGATTAATTTATGATTACAATAACATTTGTTACAGGATATGATTGCCCTGGTTATTGCAGTACATTTGGTCTCATGGGATGCAAGTCAACACAATCATGCATAGCATCTTTTAATTCATTTGATGAAATTTTATTCTCCATATTAAAAGGCATGTGTTGTCAATTTTTTCCAAGATATAGAATCAATCACATTTCAAAAAGATATTTGGTAAAACAGACAACAGTACGACAAAATAAAATAGAAAAGCAAAACAATATGTATGTTGCCTGGTAAATTATGTGAAGAAGAAAACTATCAGTTTAGCAATGTAAGGTAGGAATTCATACACAATGCCATTTAGAAAGTGGTCAGGTGTAACGCATGTTATATTTGGGATTACACTTTTTCAGTAAAGTGCTGGCTCCAAGTTCGAATCTTGGATGGGACTCAACCCAACAAACGTACTAGAATCTGTACTGTACTCATGGAAGTGAATCAGGAATTTTCAAGGGTGGAGGAAACCACGGTGGGGTTTCGAACCATAGCATAAAAAATCTTCAATGTGGTCTTAAGTCATTTTCAAAAGGAGGGGGTGGGGGTGGGTGTTTCGACCCCCCTGAACCCCCCTCTGGATCCGCCAATGGTTCTGAGAAAATGTAATTGAAAATGTAACATGTACGGGTTACAAATGTAAAGTACGATAAACATTGGTTGACATCAGAACAACAGTATTTTACTCGGATCCATTGTTTCCAATATATCCAAAGTTCAAAGTTAACATACACCCACTGGTTGAAGATTAGTAAAATTCTGAAAGGTGAGGTGAAATTGGGTTTAACGTCGTACTTGAGAATATTTCGCTCATATGACGACATGCATTCGTGTGTATGTGTATGTGCGGCTGCTTGTACTAGCCCAGACTGAAGCTGGTTTTATAGTGCTAGCCCACTGAGATACCATGCCGCAGTGAAGCATGAATACCCCACTCAGACACATTATACTGACTCCGAGCCGACCAGTCCTTGTTGTACCAATTAATGCTGAACTCCAGGCAGGGACCAACAAGTACCATATTTTAACTTCTTTGGTATGACGCGGTCGGGGGATCGAACCCACGGGCGGACGCTCTAACCACTACACCACGGAGGCGGTCAGAATTCTGAAAGGACTGTTGATATTTATTGTGGACTTGTAGTTTTAGCACTGAGTAAGCATGTGTTCAGACAGACAATAGTTCTTATTTTTTACTTGAGTTAAGAAACATGTAATTTATAATTGGGAATGACAGTCGGGGCAGAATAGTGGTGTTTGGTTTTGTTAAATCTTTGGTTGCAGTCAATTTTCAGAGACAAGAGAAAATTATAGATGTTTTCTAAATCTGGTATCTGCATACATGGTGGGCTGTATAAGCCTAGCAGTTGGCGGCCGCGCATCACATGGAACACCCGGGTTCAGTTCACCACAGGTGTGAAGTTCTCTTCTGGTGTCCCATGCCATGATATATGCATGATTTTAAACTTAAAGCTGTCTGATTTCTGCATTAGACTCACTCAATATATACTCTTCATTGGATTGTCCGGTCCAGACTGCCGCCATATAGCTGGAATACTGTGGAGTGCGGCATAAAACTAAACTCACTCACTCACTATACCCTTTAATGTTCAGTATTATCTGTCTTTTTCATCAGGTGGGGGGAGGTGGGGTAGCCTCGTGGTTAAAGCGTTTGCTCATCAGGACAAAGACCCCACATGGGTACAATGTCTGAAGCCCATGGCTGGTGTCCCCCGCCATGATGTTGCTGGAAAATTGCTAAAAGCGGCGTAAAACCATACTCACTCACCCGCTTACTTTCATCAGGTTTTTATTTACATAGTTATGTTTTGTTGCAAATTTGTTCATAAAGTATCTGTGTGCAAGTATAATTAAAAATACAGTGGTGATTTCAGCACTTTATTGGTATCTGATACAGGGGTACATGTAGTTGGTAAATCCACGGACTTAACACTTTGCCCCGACAGCTTGTGCAGTAAAATTGATAAATTTGTATTATAAACTAACATTTAGTTTCTGAAATGAAAATACATTGCAGAGAAACTGTTGTTGAATTGTTTTGATACAATATGCTATTAATAAGAAGGGGCAGAGAGACTCTTCATTTTCACTAGAAACTTCACTAATGAAGGAAAACCACGTTCTGTGGATGGTCCATTTCTTTATTACAATGAGTGTGTCACTTCGGAGTTGATACTAACACTGTTATCACTTGCTTGATAACTATCTTAATACCTACACCGAAACATCACACTCATTGTAATATAGAAGTTGACTATCCATCGAACTTGGTTTTCCTTCATCTTCACAACTTCTTAAGTGCCTCTTAAAGAAACTTCATTAATGCAGATATGTCTAATATTATATACATGCATGGACTGTATTAGATATAATTGTTTGTGAATCTGTCTGTTGTATGCTTACTAGTTTGTAGGCACACATGGTATAATTCTAAGTACAATACAAATATTGAGACATATTTTAGAATACCATGTTATTAGTAATTTTGAATTCAGCAAGTTTTTGCAATGATTACAGCAAAAGTTTAGCAATAGTGCAATTAGTTTTCATCGTTCTTCTCTCAGAGCACCATTGCTTTCTGCAATATACCAGAACACTGAAAAAATGCAATATGTTTTGTTAGAAAACATAATAAATGCAGTAAGACATTGAAAATCACGGTCTTATATGGCATATATATCATCAAATTGCAAAACAGTTTGTGACCAGTACACATGTCTTGAAGATGTGACTGACGTACCACAATGTAAATGTGAGTGAGTGAATTTAGTTTTACGCTGCTTTTAGCAATATTTCAGCAATATCACGGCTAATGTAAATGTAAACTGATGTATCAACATCCCTTGATTCCTTCAAATGTGCCTTGAAAACATTCCTCTTTAGAAAATATTACAGTGTTTAACAAACATATCCTGAAAAGTTTTAATCTTTTTCTGTACAAATGTTTTAGGTGCTGTTGCACTCCCATCACCTTTTGTATGTAGCGCTTTGAGCATGTTGAGCATACAATCCAGCGCGGTATAAATACACATATTATATATACGTCATGTCATATTTAGCTATTGATGTGAGATATCAGAATTAATAATAAATCATTTCATATTCCAGATGGACAAACTTTGTGTGCTGTAAACATACAGTTGCTGCTAACATCTGACTCACGATGGACAGGCGTTACCGTGACGACCGAAGACAGTCTGGTCATTCATCCCATCGAAGAGGTAGGTTGAAGCTGTATTTATATGTTACCGTATGCTCCTCTGATTCTATCAGTGGATTAACTGTATGTCTCCCTGCATTGCTGAGTGAAGAACATTTCGTGGGACCAAAGTCATTTTACGGTAATCATCGTGTGTGAAACTGATGCATTGTCTCTTTGTTATTTGGGTATGTACGGTACTGTAGTGATGCACATCACAAAATGAATTGGCACAAAAATATAGTGTTTTTTTCTGCAGTCACTTGTTAAATGTGGGATTCAAAGTTGTATGCAGGATGTAGGAGGTGACCAAATACAAACGGATAGTCAGATTTTGTGACTTCTTTGCTTGACCTTATACACCAATGATGTGGATAGTTGCTTTTCAATTTTAGACAGTGGGTTGACTTGTCCAGCTTGATTATTCACAGGCTGCCAAAATATACCAGTAGTTGGAATATTGCTGAGTGCAGCATTTAACAACAAACAAATAAACAAAAACTAAAAGTAAAAACTGTTTAAACTGTTCCTGCTTTTTCAGAGGCATTTTAGGAGTTGTATAGGTGAAGGAAAGCTTTGTTATTGCTTTGTAATCTGGTTTCAAAGTTGTAACGAAAGGACCAATCCTGACAAAACTAGAATTCAGTAAGCTGACAGTTTAAAACCATATATTCCTTTATGAAAACTTACGAGCCTTAATATGTTTATTCTTAAAAACCTTTTGCAACAGTGTAATTTATGTGGCACACAATTTCTTTTTGAGTATTATTCTATTTATAAGCATTTTCGGGACAGTGTATTTCTTTTGGATTAATCAGGCCCCTCTTCCAGAATATGAAATAGTCTGCAACTTAAAATATTATGTTCCTTTTCGTTTTCGTAACTATTCAGTGTGAGATTTTCATTGTTTCAGGCTATCCAGAAGAAAGCAGGAGGGGTCCTCGCTACGATGATGAGAGCAGTTATGATGACTATGATGATGGCCAGTTCTATGAAAGATCCCCAAACAAGCGAAGGAGGCGTGATGACTACGGCAGCAGGTCAGACTACCACGATGTCATGTATGACAAGAGGTATGACATGGAGACTCAGTACTACACACGTAGGAGCCAGCAGTATGACGATGATGACTGGATGGATGACAGGCGGGGTGGTCACGACAGTCATTTTCGAGACGATGACTATGATTACTCACGACAGAGACATGTCGATAGGAAGAGAAGCTACGACAGTCATGGACCTAGAAGAGAGTCCGACGGTTTTCAGAGGCGAGGTAATTATCGGGATGAGCCGATGAGTCGGAGGGGAAGAGGAAGTTATGAACGGCGGGATAATGTTCAACGTCGTGATGATTACAAGTGGCAGGGAGATTATCAGAGAAGAGGGAGAGGAAGAGGCAGTTATCAGCCACGGAGGGATGACAACTACCATCCCCGACCCTATCGACGCAGACATTACGAACATCATGACAGAAATAATGATGATCCGTCCAGTTCAGAATGGAGTGGTATCGATGATGATGAGGAAGAAGATGCAGAAAAAGAAGAAACAACCAAAGATGAGGAAGGCGATCAAAAGATGGATGAAAACAAGGTATCAAGTACTCTAACAGAGGAAGTGAGTCCACCAACAGAGGAAGACATCGCCAAGATGGAGAAGAACAACCTTGATGACCTCGCCAGTAGTATTTTGTTGGTTCTCTTTGAAAATCTTGAAGGCACCTGCACGCTAAACGTGTTACGCCTTGAGTTGATCATGAAGGATGTGGCTGTTTTCAACAATTCCACAAATCTGAAGGAATTTCTTCTGAAATACAAAAGCGTATTCCTCGTGACGACCTTGTCTGAAGAGGCAGAAATGGATACCAAGGACGAGGCTGCAGAGACATCAATGGAAGAAGTGAAAGAAGAAGAAAAGGCAGAGGAGAAAGTGGAGAAGGTGGAAGAGAAGGAGGAGGAGAAGAAAGAAGCAAAAGAAGCAGAAGCGGAAGAAGCAGTGAAAGAAGAAAATAAAGAAGCATCAAAGGAACAGGGGGAAGAAAAGACGGAGGACAAACAAGAGCCTGGAAGCTCAACCCAGGACATGGAAACTGAGAAACCAAATTCTGAAACAGAAGATGAGGTGAAGAAGTCCAAAGAGGAAGAAACTGCTGGAGAAGCTCCTGAAGAAACAACAGACGACAAGGATGATCACGTGACGGTTACTGCTACACCAACGCTACGATTGTGTCTGTCTCATTCAACAAAAGCTTCATCTTGTAAAGGGAGATGCAAGTCTCTTCATGTTTGTCGTTATTTTGTGCTCAGCAAATGTGACATTGTAGATACTGGTAAAAGATGTTTGTTCGGTCATGATATGGACTCAAAATATAACAAGTACATCTTGAGAAAGTCTCTTCTTCACAAGTTTCCACCTCGTCTAGCTCAAAAAGTTCTTCTGAATTTGAAGTACAGGAACCGTACTACATTGCCAGTGGTGTGCAGATTTTACAACACATTCTGGGGCTGTAAGAATTCCAGGAACAACACCTGCCCCTTCTTGCATGTATGTGAAGATTACATTCTCGGGTTTTGTAAATCGGAGGATAAGAAATGTCGCTTCCGCCATGATATAAACCATAGCCAGCCTGCTGCTATTCTGGAACGTTACGGCATGTCTACAAGTGAGAAAAATCCCAAAGATGAAATTTTTAAAGCGTTGAAAAGGTCGATGATGATGAGCAAGAGAGGCAGCCACATCAGACTTCCGCCGCGGGCTCAGTCTGTTGTGTCGGGTGAAGGCGAGGCGGAAAAAGAGGAGGATAACGATGTTGAGATGGAAACCAAGCTGAAGTGGCAGTGTCGGACAACGCAGCAACGGGGAAGTGCTTGGCTAGACATTGATGAGAGCAGTAAGATTGAGGACAAGTACGCAGTCTACATGAAGGCGAGGAAGTACACCTTTACAATGGCAGAAAGAGAGTATGTAAAAGATGAGATTTCTTTCAACTCCTTTGGGATTTTGGGGATGGAATAGGTCTTAATGCTGATTGTGTTGTAACATTGTGTGACATTATGCTTTGTGTGTTCCTGCCTGATTGTGTGTCTTGCTTAGTCTGTGTCATGAAGTTATAATATATATATCTACCAAATAAATATTAAAATGATAATGGAACAAGAGCTGAGGTGACTTAGACTTATCAAATCATTCTAGACTAGAGGATGATTCCAGTTCCAGTCTAAGGTCAGCAAGACAGACTATCAACACCATGAAGTGTTTTGAATTGGATGATTTTGTTAACTCAGGCATTTACTTTGACCTGATTAAAAGCCAATGAAAAGAGTTTTACAAAAGTGTCTGAAAATGTGTGCCAATGGAAGGTCTCACAAAGGGGCAAGACCTGGGTCCAATTTTCCACATGGGCGTAATGTGTGAAGCTCATTTCTTGTGTCCCCCGCTGTGATATTGTTGGAATATTCTAAAATAAACGTAAGGCTAAACTCCTGCATTGATTATTCTATATATGTGTTTTCAGAAGTGAGATCAACTTTGACAGAATGTCTGGTCACACGACTGGCGGGCTGCACTTGGAGTTCCGTCGCGTCACTGAGAAAGTTCCGAAGAAGGCTCCCGAGACCAGCAATACAGAACAGCCAAGCAAAACCAGCGCCTGATCCAGACAGACAGCTGATGGTGGAGGAACACCTTGTTGGTTGTAGATAATGTTCTTGTACAGTCATGTCACAGTGCGGTGGTCGTCCATGTTGCAATATCAAACTGATGTTGTCGTACAGCTATTCAGCACACAATACTGGTGTCCCTGCTGTGATATTGCTGGAATATTGCTAAAACAACATAAAACCATACTCACTCACTCATTCAGTAACACAACACACGCCATTGGGATACACTGGGGGCAGCAGGGTTGTCTAGTGGTTACATATCTGGCACAGTTACCTCCCCTTAATCACTCTTCACAGTCATTCGTGATTTGTTATCAGTGTGTATATTTCTGGCTTACATGTGCTATCATTTCCACCTCTGCTTTGGTGTGGACATAAGCAGATTTATTGTAGATAAAGAACCTATCTTGTTTCCATGGTATTGAAGCAGCAATGTATTGATCATGAAGAGCAGTGGCTTTTTTAGTGGTATTTTGAAATGTAAGTCGCTTCGTGTTCCGATTTTTATTTTTTATATTATATATTTCTTGCTGATAAAATATACTGAGGGAAAACTAAATGGATCACATGAAAGCACAAGTGTTCCTTAATTTTTTCCCTCAGCTTTCTTCACAAGCTTTGTTTCGCACAACTTGTGAAGAAACCTGGAAAAAATAAAGGAACACTTGTGCTTTCATGTGATCCCTTTTATTTCCCTCAGTATATATTGAGATGGTCAGTCAGGAAGGTCTTAGATGCAGGGACGTGGAATTTAGTCATAGTTGATGAAGTGATGTGAGATGAGGCTGTTTCCATGAGGCTTGGTCGTCTGCATATTGCCAGGACAGGTGAATTTAATGTGTTCACAAGGCAACAAATTCTGTTTATGCCATTTGAGAATTGAGTGATAACTTATCTCTGTATTGAACACGAAAGATGTTAGGTGTTGTTACATGTAACATGTTGCTGAAAGGACAAGTTACATGAACCAAGCAGCTGTGTAGATCATAATACTTCACCAAAGGCTTAATTACTAAAATGTAATTAAAATCTACAAATTGAAACCAAATCAACAAACCCTCGAAACTAAAGGGAAGGGAAGTAACTCTTCCATTGTTATTCTAAGAAGTGATGCATAAACCTCTCTTCATTATACTTAACAAAATGACAGTGTTCTTCTTAAAACTAGGATTCTACTTTTGTGTTTTGAGTTATGCTCAGACACTCAAAAGTTTTAGTCAATGTAGTTTTGAAGTGTTTTATGTCTTACAGAGCTATGTTGCTTGTGTTTTATTGAACCTACACATTTCAAATTTAGATATCAGTTTAGTATACCTTGTCCTCCAGCCGAGAAAATAAGAATTGTCAATTTTCATTATAATTTGAATGATAATGATTGGCAGGGTAAAGATTGATGAAATTACAGTTCATATGTTCAGTGTCAATTATGTACACCAATATTTGTAGCAGGTGAGCTGTTTGTCCTGTGAACTAGTTTTTGTTAGCCCTGAATGAACCAAAATCTGCCACTGAATACCACTTAGAGAAAACAGAACAAGTGTAAATAGGTTTTTCTTTGCTTATGTGATGTCTCCTGTGTGAATGCATATTGTATTTTTGTTTAAAAAGCCAACCTTGAAGATACAGAAGTGAGTTGTGTATCTTCTTTGATTTCTCTTAGGGACCGTTCATAATTTATGGCTAGGGGCGGTGGTGATGATTTTTGTGTAGAAGCATGTACAATGTGAATGACCGTCCCTAAAATTTATGTACAAAGTAAGTTACCTCCCCTTGGATATCACGTACAAAATCCCCCCTCCCCCTCTCGCATAATATTTAATATTTTTATGAACAAAATTACTGACCCCAAACACACACACCATATCCATGAGTACAAAATTGAAGACACCCCCTACCTCCCCAGAACAAAATTGGTAACCCCCTAAAAATATCATCATATCATACCCACCCATAAATTATGAATGGTGCCCTACACATACAAAAGATATCTAATAAAATCTCATCATTGATTCCAGAAATGTTCACATTTTGTGTGTAGTGAGTAGTGTATGTTTTGTTACTGTAAATGTCTCACAATGGTAAGTTCAATATATTTTCAGTAGACAGTTCATAAGGACTAAAACAACCACACCTGTCCTCATTATCTGGGTGACATATCTTGTGTTGGATATAGCTCAACCAGATCAGACTGGACCCAGATGAGCTGGAAACATTCTTGTGATGAAATGTTCAAGATTTGAAGACAGGTTATGGAGTTGTCTGAAGTGTTAGAAAATACTTTAATCAGAATCATCCGAGGTTTGACATTTGTATTTGTTGTAGTATATCCTTGTTCTGTATTGTGTAAGAGTTGGCATTTAGAAGCTGTGGGGTGTGTGTAGACTGGGACTACTTTCAGCTTCATCTCCTCTAGCGGTGTCTCTTGCTTCATGAAGATTCTACCAGATGGTCCACCACATTGCAATTAAATAATACAGAATCTGATATCTATGTAGGGGGATAGGGTAGCCTAATGGTTAAAGCGTTCGCTTGTCATGCTCAAATCCCGGGTTTGATTCCCCACGAGGCAATGTGTGATTTTACTGTGAAGTCCATTTCTGGTGTCTCACGGGGTGGTGGGGTAGCCTAGTGGTTAAAGTGTTGGCTCGTCACGCCAAAGACCCAGGTTCGAATCCACACATGGGTACAAGGTGTGAAGCCCATTTCTGGTGTCTCCCGCTGATGTTGCTGGAATATTGCTAAAAGCAGCGTAAAACCATACTCACTCACTGATATCTGTGGTGTTCCATGCCCGCTGTTTGTCCTTGATTGCTTGGTATTACACAAAATAGTTCAATTTTCTGATTTATTGCCAGATTACTTGTGATTATGAACTTGTCTTTATTTGACGGTTTGAGTTATGGGGAATGAGGATATAAAACAGTGTACACAGAATGAATTAAATAAATATCACAATATAATGCCCATATGTGGTCATGAAAAATGACATAGCTCTGTTTCCTCAAATAGGAAAATTATTAATGTGAACATTTGACAGCCTTGTGTTGTAATGGAAGCATCCATCACATCTCCAGTAATGGCTACTTGAATGCTACATATTCTCATTGGTCATAGCTGGAATGTTGCTGATTGCAACATTAAACAGCAAAACAAATATTGGTCAGTCAGTATTAGTAAAACCCATAGAGTTGGCTGTCACTGCTGGTCTGACTGGAACCTTGGTACACACAGACAAGTTGTATAGTTGCTTTGGTCCCCATAGTTTCAAGACATGCGGCCTGATATATTCAATAGTTCATATCTGTTTCAGTGTGTTGTATGTACAATGGAATCAGTCTGTACATTTGCTATTTACATTGAAATAAAATATGCTGGAAAAACATCATATTGTTCGAGAATGTTTGCTTTTAGGCAGTTGAATAGTGGTCCACTTATCACAGACCGGGAAGAGTTGTTAGGTATGTAAAGTCGACGATCAAATGAGTGCAGCTTGTGTGGTTCTCTCATTTTTATGTTTACCTTCTGCCTACCGAAGTACTCGGCGGCCACGTGATCAAAACACTGACGTCGCTGTGGTCTTCCCTATAGTGGTCCACTTATTGGGGTGAAGAAAATCCGGGTTAGAACTAGTCTTCAGTAACCCATGCTTGTCGTAAGAGGCCACTAACGAGATCAGTTGTTGACACGTGTCATCGTATCCCAGTTGCGTAGATCGATGCTCATGATGTTGATCACTGGATTGTCTGGTCTAGATTCCATTATTTACAGACTGCTTCTTTGTCGTTCACGGATCTTCACACATGAAATAACAGTATAATAGTAAAGACTACTTTTGAAGGAAAGGCTATTGCATTACAACAGTAATATTACACGGTAACTTCACATGGCCTCATGGCTCACTTCACACAGTCTCATGGCTTCACATAGTGTCAGCCTCAGGGTTGACTTCACACAGTGTTGTGGCTAACTTCACACAGTCTCATGGCTTCACATAGTGTCAGCCTCAGGGTTGACTTCACACAGTGTTGTGGCTAACTTCACACAGTCTCATGGCTTCACATAGTGTCAGCCTCAGGGTTGACTTCACACAGTGTTGTGGCTAACTTCACACAGTCTCATGGCTTCACATAGTGTCAGCCTCATGGTTGACTTCACACAGTGTTGTGGCTAACTTCACACAGTCTCATGGCTTCACATAGTGTCAGCCTCAGGGTTGACTTCACACAGTGTTGTGGCTAACTTCACACAGTCTCATGGCTTCACATAGTGTCAGCCTCAGGGTTGACTTCACACAGTGTTGTGGCTAACTTCACACAGTCTCATGGCTTCACATAGTGTCAGCCTCATGGTTGACTTCACACAGTGTCATGGCTGACTTCACAGTGTCTCAAGGCTATCTTCATAACTTCCTATTTCAGCGCTTGGTACATGAGAGCCTTCTTTGTGTCAGTCATGTCGATGTCCTCTCCGCTGATCAGACTCATTGACGTACTGCAACCAGATGATGAATCTCCAGCACTGAACACTGGGAAAAGAGGTTCACCGAACTCCTCGTCATATCTGAAGAGAACAATCTCCTTGTCTAGGTCAATGAATGCCAATCTCCCCTTCCCCACATCCAGTACAATGCCATAGTGGAGGGTGGCCTGTGTGCCGGGAGTGTCGGACAGGGTGTCCTGCTGACGCTCGCCCCGCTCCCTCTCCCGGTATACCGTTGTACAGGGATTCACCCCGTGTCTACCACAGTTCCTTACGCTGACGCACCAGGACCGACGCTGTTGAGTAACACACCACCCACTGTCCACCTGTCCTGCCTCAACAACACCCATCTCCAGCACATACGGCCATACTCCAGTCACCACCCGCACCCTGGTCTCTGTCTCCCAGTACTTGGGGATGGTGGTTAGAGATGAAGGAAGGGTGATGGGGCAGCTATAGGTCCCCCAGTACTTCTGTAGTCTGTTCTGCCCAACATCCCGTGTGTCGGGCCGCGAGTTGACCAGCTCGCCGTCTGTCGTTACGTGGCATTCGTTGGTGTTGGCCCGAGCCGCGTCCAGGTGGAGTTTAGGACCTGGAAATATACATTGTATCTATTGTATAGTTGGTAAATTTCAATGTTTCTTACAAACTGAGATACAGAAAAAGATTTACATGAAATATGAAGACAAACAAAACTTACGCTACGTGATACGCATGTGATACGAAAGAGACAATTACAAATGCTGATTTGATAAGAGAAGTCGGGGTATATATTGGGTTATACCTTCGTGCAATGACATGCTAAACGCATAATAACAGTATCATACAAAAGTTTTTAATTACGTTTTAGATAGATACACATAAAATGGAAATTTATGCATGTCAAAAGTGACACACTTCCATAAATTACCCGTATAAAACTATCATTTGTTGAGAGACTTTGTACAAAGAATGTATGCCACCATGAACGGCTGACACATTCATAAGTTCATGTGGGATCTTCGGCGTAACTTTTATTGGTCGACTAACAGGATCAGATGGTCAGGCTCGCTCACGTGGTTGGCACATGTCATCGTATAATCCCAATTGCGTAGATCGATGCTCATGCTGTTGATCACTGGATTGTCTGGTCCAGACTCGATTATTTACAGACGGCCACAATATAGCTGGAATACTGTTAAGCGCGGCGTTAAACAACAATAACCAACCAACCAACCATTGTGTTATAGGGACTAATTCAGGACAGCCATCGTCCAAATATTTAAAAAGTCCAAAACTATGTACTCAAGACATGTGAGACTTTATTGTAATATATATATGACGCTAAGCTGTATTTTTAATCACTACTGTACATCCTTATCACTACCGCATTGTAAATTGACTTGTCAGCCCATTAATTATTGTATAAGACATTTATAACCTTCATTGGTAATCCCCCTTGGCCGTGTCTGCCATCACATCAACTGGTCAAGGAATTGCTATTGTTTTTCTGTCTGTCGTCGCCTGTCCATTGTTGTCAAAAACTGTATATATACTTAGTATGCTTACATCTAGAGAGTGAAGGAGTACGAGTTCGGTATTTGGACTGTCTGTTGGGACGACCACGAGCAGGATAATGCTGCTCGTAGGAAATGCCCTGGGTTTGAGCAGGTACACCGCTCACCTCGCTCATGTCTTGTGTATTTGTTTGTCATGTACTAAAGACGTTAGAACTCAACTATGCCTTCGTCATCATCAACGCACACTTCATCTTAATTATGAGCTAATTCCCCAGTTGACGCGTAACACCACGCGTTGACAATTGTAAAGGAGGGGAATCTATCTGCATCTGAAATGACTTACACGACACGGGCTGAGGCCGGGATGCTAGTCCAACATTATGTACAATACTGCCGTCTGAAAATATAGATGAACTGTCATCACATGCTTATCTGTATCAGAGGAGATACATTCAGTGCAGAGGGATGTAAAACTGACATAACGCAGAGGGTCCATACTTCATATTTGACAGCGAATTTGAAAAAACCCCAACAAGAGCTTGACAATTGCTTCTGTTCCATACACGATCAGCAGTCTCATGTCCACAAATCCTGATAGGTCAATAGATCTTTTACTTTACAATAATTTCCCACACTGTACACTGAACATGCACAGACACAATACGGTTACATACATGTTACATGTCTTGGCCCCAATAAAGCTTCTGGGCCCTTATTCTCGATACGTTCGTAGCCCTAAGAATTCTTAACTTCGGTCGTAGTCAATGTGTTAAGAATGGGCTTAAGAAGTTCGTAAGGCTACGAACGTTTCGAGAATAGCTTGCCTGATTTGTTTTTGATTTAATTCTTTTGCCGACCTTTTTCAATGCAGTCATTCTTTCCACGGAGTTCGTTCTCGTCCTCATCGATGACCTGGAAAAGACCAGGGGTGAGTGTGTGAGTGTTTATGTCGCTATTTTGGCAGCATCACTGGTGGGAATGTAACCAGGAGGCTACCCGCGGGGGGGTTACCACACCTCACCTTGTGATGAAGACCACAAATTCAGAAAGATCTCGGAATAACGCCTTCCATTATTGTATTGCATTGTGGTGTGAACATATACCCAGTGTGCGAAATAGTCACTGGTCCGCTAGCCCGTGGCTAGTAAAAATCCAGTCGGACCAGTAAATCTCGACTGTCACTGGCCCGACTGGATAGTAAATTTTCATTGGGTCATTTTGTACATATATCACATTCTCCGACTTGTTAACTTATAATACACTTTTAAATCATGTCAGATTATGGCCTGGTAGAAATGTTCATCATTCTATCAGCTTTATGAGGAAACACGACTGGCTAGTGAATTTTCATGGTGTCATTTGGTAAAATATATCACTCTCTCCTACTTATTAAGTTATAATACACAGGCAAGATAAAACTGTTCATCATATTAGCAGCTTAATGATGAAACACGTGTCATGCCGACATTATCTTATTCTCATCTATTTTTGTAAACCTTTAGTTAGTTTCAACATTCAAATTTCGCATTAGTGAATAATCTTGTGGGCTAGTAACTTTCAGGCACAGCTAGCCCGATTGGGGCTAGCAAAATTTATCAACTATTTCGCACAGTGCATACCACAGTCAACGTAGGCCGCAAGAACTTCTCACATTGTAGCATCCAAAGCACTGATATTCATTGATTTTACAAGGCTTTGTGGCTTACACGTAATGTGATCACAGGCCGCGACACTTATAAAGCATAAAACCTTTTCCTGTAACGTCATTTCCTGAATGTAAAATACCCACAGACTTGTCTGTAACCACAAACAGATTCAAATGTATAACGGGAAATTGCAAGGAAATTTACATTACCTTGTCCATTATGTACATGTCCGCCACGTCACATCAGTAAGATGGAAAATGATCCGATTTACAGCGAGTATGTATGCTACAGTGATAGGTGTGACTATTTGGCATAGTAACTATATGTATCTAGTAACATCAGAGATAAGCTTTTATCCATGTACTCTGTATCCTATTACATTCTGTTGTTAGATGAGTCGTTAATATATATCATTCAAAAAAAGTAGGGGATATTCCATTTTGCGAGCTTTCCACTAGCCAATGCCAATGCATATGAGAAAAAGTAATATATATCCATACAGATGAAACATTTCCGAAGGAATGGAATAAATTGTCACATTTCGCTTAATTTCTCTTTATCATCTCTTTCCTCCTTGGCTTCATCATTTGCATTTTATCAATCTTGTAAATCCAACATACCCTACTTTTTTAATGGTATATATGACACTGGTTATAACTTGATTCATTAAGTGAAATGAAGGACTGATGTAAATAGTAGCCATGCTAGAATGAAGCCCATTACGGTGTGCCCTGTTTATTCATTAACACGATTGCAATAGTTGCCACGTGGACGTCCCTACGCCTGGTCAAAGTCTATGTGGCAAGTGTACAGGTAAACCTCAATACACTCATATCACACTTAACGTAGTTGGTTGAAAGTAATCTCTTCTATTGCTCAATTGTGACCTTCCACCCGATACAAGGAAAAGCGATTATCAGAGGGTATATAGGCACGTATATAGATATCGCACCGTGTATACTTCGTGTAACCCATTCGTCTAAACACACCAGGGATATAGCTAGGATATCGTTCATGTAGGCGCTAAACTCAACATCCGTACTTAATATCACACAAAGTTTCGTTTGGGGCGACCCAAGTGAACACTTCAAGCATCCACAAAATAAGTCAATACATGCTTGGATATCCTATCGCTTTGAGCATTGTATGTGTGAGTGAGTGAGTTAATATTTAACGTCACATCGGCAATATTTTAGCCATGTCGTGACGAGAACATTATATGCAGTGACGTTTTAAATAATATTTATTTTAACTGGGTCGATGTTTTTGCTGGTGGTTTTACAGTAGACATGTTGAGAACATCTCAAAATCTGATGCAGCAACATTATGTCTGATGCATTTCCCTTTAAATTTGGACTTGTACCATACGTTCCCGAATTTCATCAGGTGAACACTTTCCTAGGCTTTGCATGTGTTTATGACGGTGCCAAACCGTGGAGCAGGATACGCTCAGTTTTAGCGAACACCTGGTATCATCACAATTTTGATTCATAAACATGCTTAGTCTCTACTTTTAACTCTGCTTTTATAAACCGCCTCCGTGGTGTAGTGGTTAGAGCGTCCGCCCAGAGAGCAGAAGGTCGCGGGTTCGATCCCCGACCGCGTCATACCAAAAAGACGTTAAAATATGGTACTTGTTGGCCTCTGCCTGGCGCTCGGCATTAATGGGTACAACAAGAACTGGTCGGCTCGGAGTCAGTATAATGTGTCTGAGTGGGGTATTCATGCTTCACTGCGGCATGGTATCTCAGTGGGCTAGCACTATAAAACCAGCTTCAGTCTTGGCTAGTACAAGCAGCCGAGCATACACATACACACGCATGCACGTCGTCATATGAGCGAAATATTCTCAAACACGACGTTAATCCAATTTCACCTCACCTCACCTGCTTTTATGAGAGATTTCTTATGAAAATGGGGAGGGTTTGTTACGTTGGTTTTAACAGATGTATAAAAAGCAAAACGGAGACATCTGATCAGCTTAGATTTGAGGAACACCACTTCCGAGTATTTCCATTCTATTTTTAGTAATTCATGTCAATACATGGTGTCAATATCCGTTTTTGTCGAATGCCACGAAACAGCTTCTAAGGCAATGAATATGTCAGAAGACTTAACTTGTACAGTAGAAGAAAATGTTTCAACCTGTTTGATAATAACTCATAAACACATACTTATGGTATAGTTGGAATCAGACAATGTGCTTGAAGCACATACTTCTTATGATTGCAGAAATAGAGATTATTACACATTGTCACTGCTATTACACATATGTGCACATATGATATATATGACTAGCGTTTAAAATTCCCGCCAGCCCGACAGGCCGGAACGGTTTATTTTCATCTCGGATGGTCAAATTTCAAAAGTAGCCTGTCCGGTGGTCTGGTAGATATTTTTACCCCTAACAGTAAATATTTCATAATATCAGACAGGTTCTCTTGTTGTCAGTTTGAGGTGTTTACGGTATTATGATGATTATGTTAAACTACTTACGATTGGTCAGTTCATGTTGCGACAACCAATCACAACACGTGTACTTTCAGTTTACCTAAACTCGGTGTCTTGCCTGTTAGTGCTATGTAGTTCATTGCGATGCCTACAAACAGTAACCCGAGTTTGTTTGTGTTTTATTGTTGAAAACCGGACAGGCAGGTTTGTATCTGGACTGGTAATTGTTAGAAATTATACATCTGTCATAGCCGGTGTGACTCCCCATGTTTATATAACTATACGGTTATAGAATACAAATATACCTTTTCCTGTTGATCCTAGCTACAACATGTAAAATAATACCAAAGACGTCTTGGTCTTGTATGTAATTGTCGGGTTTGGTAACATACTCCATCGACCAGCCTTACATGTTGCATAAAGCGTAAAGAGAAGCTGCTTTCGTGGTTGTCAGGGAGACGGATGACCTTTGAATGTTCTTCTCAATAGGTTACACTTTCGTCTGTAGAAACATACGCATCCATTCCTGGATACCAATTTTTGTGATTAGCCTGTGGGCGTAGTCGTATATATATGCAAGTGGTCCCAGTTTATCATAAAACACAATCCCATTAACTGACCTAACAGAGACGTGAATAATAACAGGCTGACCACTACTTCTGTCTTTTGTTTCATGGTCTGACGTGCAAGGAATAAAATGAACCTTGGCTACAGAGGCTTCTGTTAGTATGTTGCCATCATAGTCACAGACAAGAACAGCATCGCGAATCTTCTCCTCTAACGTCTTCCTTAAATAATCCAGATTACTGACTACAACTGGGTCGGGTCTCAATGTTCTAGATGCATACCCATACTTCGTGCAAGGAACCTCATTGACTCCATAAAAGTAGGACCCTCCGCCTTCCAGTTTGGAGAATGCCGTTATGTATTCTGCAAGTTTATAATTCTTAAGTAAGGAACGAGCAATTTCCTCATCGCTTTCCTTTGAAATAAAGTGGCCCTTTATTTCAACTGACCTGCTTTCGTGTAGATGCTCAAGGTCAGCGGAACATTTGATTCCTGGAAGTCTGTGGAAGGTCTCCGTGAACTGTCTTCTTTTTCTCAAGAAGTTCCGTAGCGTTTCTGCCGTCGGTTCTATTATGCAGTCATCAAGAGCAATCTTTGTATTAAAGTTTGAAGTTGTCACTGTGGAAGATGCACTGACGTAAAGACACAGAAAGTCATAGAGGTGTTTTAGGTGTGGATGACAGCTTAGTCGTTCCTTCCTATAAACATCGCTAAACAGGCTACCATCCTGAATCAAGTTATTTAGTTTTACATCGACAAACTCATCAAACGCACCAGTGAAAACATCCTCTGATGCTAAACCAACAAGATGAATCAGTACGCATCCACCGTTTGTATTACGCAGTGCTGACACGTTCTTAGCCAGTTCCTGAATTTTTTTGTCCCTTTTTTCTCGCCTTTTCCTCTTATCGTATCTCTCGTGACCCATCATACCATACAGGTAGGTGACATTCATTTCCATTGACAAGACATTGCTTTCTGAAAAGACAAGCTCTGTAAACATTCCAACTGCCGCTTCACACTTTGAACAGTGTTCGCTGAAAAATAAAAATCGAACTGTCTTAGACGTAAAAATGAGTATTTTGATGTAATAATGTACTCCAAAAACATAGTAATACTTAATAACTGTTAATATTTAACAGAAAATAACAACGGAAAACCCAACCAACCAAAACCCACTTAGCCATTTTTTGATCCTTTAACATAGATGTTTTATAGAATGGCATTCCGGTTAAATTAACAGTTGCTTGGATTTTGATTTTCATAGCTACTTTGCCCTTTACACCAAATGGAATCTGTTTCTGAGGACAGACAAAACGGAGCGTTCTTTTGCACTGGTGTCATATATTCAACTTTCCAAACGTTATTTTATGTCGAGCATTATTCCAAATTTTGAACAGAAACAAACCACACCCGCAAACGCACACACACACACACATATATATATATATATATATGCCTATCTATATCCACGTGTATGTATGTATGTATGTAATGTATGTATGTATGTATGTATGTATGTATGTATGTATGTATGTATGTATGTATGTATGTATGTATGTATGTATGTATGTATGTATGTATGGATGGATGGATGGATGGATGGATGGATGGATGTATGTATGTATGTATGTATGTATGTATGTATGTATGTATGTATGTATGTATGTATGTATGTATGTATGTATGTATGTATGTATGTATGTATGTAATGTAATGTAATGTAATGTAATGTAATGTAATGTAATGTAATGTATGTATGTCTGTCTGTGTGTCTGACAACCTTAGGAAACAATCTTAAAACTCACAAATACATAATAGGAGTGTGTTCGAAGGTGATACTCAACACATGCATGCTGTCTATGGCGTCTCTTATGTACTTACATCAGACAGTATGTGTGAGGTACTTGTTCATCTGTTAGATGCACACTGTTTGCACTGTCGACCTCCTTGTGTGGTATGACGTCCGACCTGACACGGGTGTACTGCATTGCTGATAGTGTGGTGTCCGATCTGTTTGTTGACAGTCTATTCCCTTGATTACCACAAACAGCAACAGTATCTGACTGGAACTAGTTCTACGATAACTGACATACAGCTACATATTAGAAACGTGATGGTAAAGGATCATTATTTGTGGGACGCACTTCCTTGTGTTTACGTCCACACCAACACGGTCAGAACCTGATATCAAGTTAAACTATTCACATAACCACATACTAGAATGACACTGATACAACTTACAATGTACACAAAGCAATATGAACAGTGTCTGGCACTGATCCATAACTGCTGTACGCTGTTGTTCAACTGCAAGCATACAGATCAACATCCGGGTCACTATGTCGTATTTAGGTCACAGTGAATTCAGAAGCTCAGGTATGCAATACGGAAAGGAAGGCTTTAGCAATAACTGTAATTTGGTCAAACACTACCCTTGTCTTGGCAGTGAGGTGATAGGTCAAGTTGATGCATGTACACTGTTTGTTGTTGCCTGTTTCACCTCCCCAAGTTTACTGCGTGTTATAATCAATCAAGTTATTAACATAGTCGAATAAACATGCGCATCTAAAGAAAAAGCAAACAGACGCTTAGCCGAACTGCTAAATATAGGTTATTGTCAGCCGATCTCGATGGGTTGTACGGTGTGATCTATCTCATTTGTGAGGTTATGTACACCTTGTCACTAGGCACATCAGGTACATCACACCACGAGGGACCGGTTCACATCGAATTCATCTTAAGTACCGACATTCAGATCTGGGATGACTGTCCTCAGTTTCAAAACCCCGAAGCAGAAGATGCAAACGAACTGAGTTACTTCCCTTTACTCTATGCCTGCGTATGCGTAACCGCATTTGTTATTGTCGGAAAACAGTTACGGAAAGGGCCGAGGGGAGGCGAATGTATGTATGGGTTAAATTTAGAAACTAAACGACACTTATACAATATAAGAACATACATATTGTTAATCTCTCAACTCCAACCTCAACAAGCAAAAGGCGGGCAGGTGAAATAACATAACTGTGTTTTTGAAACTCTGTAACTTATTTTATAGCATTTTCATGTTGAAATCATTGTAAGGACCGTTCATAAGTTATGACGTGTGTGTGTGTGTGTGTGTGTGTGTGTATGTGTATGTACAAAGTAAGTGACCCCCCTGTTTGTCATGTACCAAATCAATACCCCTCCCCCCATCCCATATTTTTAAAGCATAATTTTAAAATATTTTTTTATACAAAATTGCCGACCCTCCTAGAACATGCGTAAAAAATTGATAACCCACCCATGAACAAAATGGGTGACCCTCCTTAAAATCATCATCACCCCCCAGCCATAAATTATGAACGGTCCCTAGTGTTAAAGATGTCACCGCATAGGACCCAAAAGTACCTGAATTTGTACTCTACAAGAACTTGTAACACAAAATATAACATGTTGCATTGTGAAATATTCTCGACTCATTAAAACCAAGTTACCAGTGCCTGTAACCGGGCAACATGAGCAATAAGCACACTCCCCTTAGCCAATCAAAAGCTAACGTATTTAATGTTAGGTAAGATGAAGAGAAATGTTTATGTCATTAATCACATTCATCCCCCGCCGTGATATCGCTGGACTATTTCTAAAGCGGCGTAAAACCAAAGTCACTCACTCATTTAAGTGAACAGATTGGCGCATTCGACAAATTTAAATCTCCCTATTTCACTTATATTGACAATAGTCAAAGAACAACGGAAACTAGAGGTCGGGGGGAGGTAACGGGAAGAGTGTCATGACGTCAGCCGTTATGACATCACTCAAAACTTTTACCTCTTTGCAGAACAAATTGCATTCGGCGCCTTTGACTTTCCTACGAATTATCTGAAGATTATACTGTCCATTCAGTTTCATATTAAACAAGAGGAAAACACGAACAGGCTGTTAAGAAGAACAGAAGGAAAGTGATTCATTCCTAAGCTGGTCGGTTGTGCCATACCAGTGTATGGCGTCTATAGGAGTATAGTTGTCAAAGGCGTGGCGATTACTGTGGGGAGTCACGCCCTTTCAACACACCAGAAGCCTATAGTTGTAGGTTCGAATCCCGATGCGCGCCGATTAAGTTCCTGGGTTCAACATTATACCCGTGCTCTTTGGTTTCACCAAAGTGGCAAATGTCTGAGAACTGCATCACTTTGAGCCTTCCTCTTGTGAAGATCCGGGTTAGAATTGATCAGCAACCCATGCTTGTTGTAAAAGGTGACTAACGGGATCGGGTGGTCAAGCTCGCTGACACATGTCATCGTATCCCAATTGCGTAGATCGATGCTTATGATGTTGATCACTGGATTGTCTGGTCCATACAGACCACTGCCATATATCTGGAATATTGCGGCATAAAACTAAACTCACTCACTGTCATCACACCCCAATAGGCGTGATTTCATTTTAGGTTTAGGAGATCAAAATATTGTCATTTTTATGATATTTATTTATTTTTGTTTATTGATCTATTTATTTATCATTTAAAAGGTGTTTCCACATGAGACCGCCGCCATATAGCTGGAATATTGCTGCGTGCGGCGTAAAACTAAACTGACTCACTTACTTTCCACCCACATTAAGCAGACATACCGTTAACAATTGTCCAGTTCACACACTCTTACCTCTAAATGGCGCTCCAGACTTTTCTTCATGTACCATTGTTACACCTGAGGAGAAGCCATGCCAAATAACGTGTAACGTTTTATTGTTAGAAATAGAAGCGACAAAGCCCTTTCCACATTCATAAGAAATCTCTGCAAAAAGCAGAGTCGATTGCACACTTGTGACTATATCATGAGCAGATATTTGAAACTTATGGTTTAATTATGACAAAATTAATAACAAACAGTGTGTAAAGGCGAAGTTTAATCTTGTCTGAAAGGAAAACGATCGTTATATTGATGTACAGATGACATAGGTGTTTCCTTAAGACAGATGAGTCAGATGACATCGATCAAGATGGATTTTATCGTCTACACGACGCGAGTCTACGATGACCTGTAACAAAAACATAAATCAGTTTTGAACAGGCAGTTCATTTTGGCTATTTTTGATCAAACGTGTCTACAATTATGCTCAAACCTGTGTCACAAAGTAGAATCGATATTGGGAGATCAGATCCTTGGTCCAATGGCAATTGCGTTCATGGCCCAGGATTGTCATTCCAACAGAATAATGCCTGTCACCAAACTGGTAGGGTTACTGTGGCTTTTCTTCATCGTCACTATGTTAAAGCACTATCTTGGCCTACAAATTCCCTGTGTCTTCCCTATAAAGCACATGTGGGATGAAATGGAACCACGTCTACGCCGTGTACCAAATCCCCAGCTCATTTCTTGTGCTCAATGTTTACATTGAACACACCAAAATGCATTTGTGATTAGGATTGAAACACATTCCTGTGTCATGTGTGTACTAATTTCTTACATGTCTTATGTAGCGGACATAAAATGTCCGAGTCCCGTGCTGGGATTACAACCATGGACCTTCTGATGCGAAGTCGGACGCCTGTTCACATGACCAAAGAGGTAAGGATGTGATCTTTGGGATGACTCCACGCCCTGCTACATTTACAATGCATGCTTTGGAAATTAAGAAAATGTTGAAATGAATAGAACACTTACAGAATGTGTCAATTTGCAGTCTCTGTTCCCTCATTCGTTCCAGCAACTCAATTGTTTTGGCTTCACTCGAGAAAGATTCCCTACACTCCAAGATGTACATCTCCATGCACGATATGTATGCGTAGGCTCCACTGAAAGTAGGATATTAATATATTTGGTGAGTATTTTAAGTCGCAGCCCACAATATCCAATCAATATTCAAGACTCTATGTGAGGTAGACTGTGTCTTCGATTGTCGTAAGCACAAATTAGTGAGTAAAGTTATAAAGGGTGAAAGTTTTCAAAAACTATTTTCTGTAAGACATCAGGACATTTCCCAAAATGTCAAAACACAGGGAAACATTAACTCCACTAAAATGAAACATATATTCCCATGATTCATAAACTGAATACTTGACTTTCCTTTGCATGTGTTTGTGACGAGTGCAACATGTAGGCTGGACACGCTCGCCATTCAGGATCACCCGCCATCACAATATTTATAAACCCATGTTGATGATATGGACTGGATCGTACAATCGTTTCTTGGGAGCGTGTGGTGTATGACATGTTTGGCTTTGCCTACTGTCTTAAGACGACTGACGACCGTGAAGATCCGGGTTAGAATTGATCTTCAGTAAACCATGCTTGTCGTAAGAGGCGACTAACGGCATCGGGTGGTCAGGCTCGCTGACTTGGTTGAAACCTGTCATTGTATCCCAGTTGGGTGGATCGAAGTTCAGGCTGTTGATCACTGGATCGCCTGGTCCAGACCCGATTATTTACAGACCGCCGCCATATAGCAGGAGCATTGCTGAGTGCGGCGTTAAACAACAATCAATGAAAAAGACGACTGACACTTTTTATTCTCGAAGATGAGCCACACCAGTTATTTGGAACCCGCAACACATTTTGTCAGGTAATCAAGAATGTATTTTCCAGAATCTTCTGGAACAGTTCTTTGGCGATCAGTCCACTGGTATTTCATTGCTGTTTCTGGGCCATGCTTAGTTTATGCTGACATCGGGGTACAACAAAATGACCACAGAAATCGGTTCTTACTTGCATCCCCTCTGCAGTTGTCGAGCTGTCCTGGCCTGGGACCACGGTGTCATCATGTCCAGACACCGTGCTACAAGGGGCGTGGCGAGGTGCTCATCACACTGGCTTAAGGCCGAACCTGGTGGTAACATACATAGTACGTGAATAACACCACATGATCTGATTAAACGTCATAATTAGTCATTTCTTCTGTGGCTGTAGCTTCATACTAAACAGTATTGCATTTGAACTTAATGGAAGTAATGGAAGTCGTTTTTGCAGACGTGATATTAAGGTAGAATTGCGACTGTACATGTGCAGCTTTAATGAAGTGACGCACTTTTACTTGGATACTTTTGCAGATTCACTGATGGGTGTCAAGAGGCGGTTGGATAGCCCAGTGGATAGCCTAGCGTTCGCTCGCCACGCCGAAGACCCGGGTTCAAATGCCCACATGGACACAATGTGTGTAGTCTATTTCTGGTGTTCCCCGCCGTGATATTGCTGGAATGTTGCTAAAAGCGGCGTGAAACCATACTTACTCACTCACTTGTCAAATTGATCATATATGTACGGCACTTCAGTCAATGCAAACGAATTTGCTTCCCTTGTCTATAGATGCGTATTAGTGCCAATTTCTTAAACATATCATCTACATACTTATATTAAATAATGCTATTATAATATACTTAGAAGGTATCATCTTCTTTCAAAGTATCGACTTTTGTAACCATAATTTCTCGAGTAATCAACAATAGTTTTGTGTTCGTAGCCTGTGACTCTACAACAATGACCGACTGGCTTAAATTATAATGGCCAATATACCTTTACTTTCAACTTTGATGTGTCTATTGAGGTACTATTAGAACATTCAATAACGTAACATATTTGAGGAGTGTGTTATTTTAGCGGTGGTGATTTGAAATGAATTCATTCAGTTGTGAAAATACAGAAAAGCCTGAACGAAAAGAAACGACCGTGTTCCTGAACATTTAAATAAATCATTGATATATGGTCAAGGTATTCAAGATTCTAATGTCACTACTAGAGATAAAGACATCATCGAAAGATAAGGATAATTTCTATATGGACTATGGCAAAAACGCTAGGTTGTAAGTTTTTCAATTTGAAAGTTATCTTCGCGATACCACTCGTGATTATCTCCAGATTACTTGGTGTGAGGAACGTCGAGTTATTGCATGTATGCAGCTACGTGCAAGCCATCGGTGGTGTAATTATTGTTATTGGTAGTGTGTGTATGTTTGTGTGAACGTATATGTGTTTGTGTGAGCGTATATGTGTTTGTGTGTGCGTATAAGTGTATGTGTGTTTGTGTGTGCGTATACGTGTATGTGCGTTTGTGTGTACGTATATGTGTATGTGTGTTTGTGTGTGCGTATATGTGTATGTGTGTTTGTGTGTACCTATATGTGTATGTGTGTTTGTGTGTACGTATAGGTTTTTGTGTGTGCGTATATGTGTATGTGTCTTAGTGTGTGCGTATATTAGTGTTTGTGTGTACGTATATGTGTATGTGTGTTTGTGTGTACGTATATGTGTATGTGTGTTTTGTGTGCGTTTATGTGTTTGTGTGTACGTATATGTGTTTGTGTGTGCGTATATGTGTATGTATGTTTGCATGTGCGTATATGTGTATGTGTGTGTACGTATATGTGTTTGTGTGTACGTATATGTGTATGTGCATGTATGTTTGTGAGTGCGTGTGTGTACGTATGTGTATGTACGGTTGTGTTTGCGTATTCGTGTATGTGTTTGTGCGTATGTGTATGTATGTTGGTGTTTGGATATGTGCGTATGTGTATATATGTGTGTTTGTATGTATGTTTGTTGCGTATGTGTATGTATGTTGGTGAGTGCGCATGTGTATGTTTGTGTGTGCGTATGTTCGTTTTTTGTGTGTGCCTATATGTGTGCGTGCATATATGTGTATGTATGTTTGTGTGTGCGTGTGTGTATATGTGTGTGTACGTATGTGTATGTAGGTTTGTGTTTGCGTGTACGTGCATGTGTGCGTGCGTATGTGTATGTATGTTGGTGAGTGCTCATGTGTATATGGGTATGTTTTGTGTGCGTATATGTCTGTACGTTTTGTGTGTGTATGTTTCTGTGTGCGTATATGTGTATGTGTGTGCGTATATGTGTATTTATGTTTTTGTGTGCGTATATGTGTATGTGGATGTATGTTTGTGAATGCGTGTGTGTATATATTTGTGTGTATATGTACGTTTGTGTTTGCGTATACGTGTATGTGTGTGGCTATGTGTATGTATGTTTGTGAGTGCGCATGGGTATATCGGTATGTTTGTGTGTGCATATATGTGTATGTGTGTTTGTGTGTATATGTGTTATCTGATAACGGAAAGGGGTAATAACAAAGTTGAGTGTCTATAGACTTAGTTTTCTTTCATCTTCACAACTTCTAAAATGTCTCTCAAAGAAACTACGAGATACTGCTGCAGCTTACCACGAAGAGCCCACTCAGACACAGTACATCGAGTCCCAGTCGGCACTCACTCACAGCCAGTCCTTGTTTTACCTCAACAATACCGAAGACACTCAGGAAAACGTTCCATCTTTTAACGTCTTCTGGTAAAACATAGACCCTGCTCCTGCTAGACCACGGAGCCCCTTCCTGAATATGTACATCACGCAATAATTTAAAGTTGATTTGCTGATAGTTTAAGCCGATGATTACAATCACTGACGTATATAACTGTACCAATCACGACGATGGAAGCCCAAATCATGTTCTTCATATTATTAACAAAACTATAAAATTGCATTAAATTATTTCTATTTAATTTGTTTAATTACACTCCAACCAATTAATTAAGTATGCTTTTGTTGAATTCCAACAATAATAACGTTTAGCAATGCATTTGAAATACATGTATGTACACTTAGATGATTCGATATTATGCTGCGCTCGAGATCATGTTGATTTTAATGTACTATAGTATGGGTCATATGGGCTTACGTGTTGAATAACCTGTGTGTCTGTCTATCTGTATGTCGATCGGTCTGTACTGCTTTCAACCTCACATTTATGTTTTATGTACCTATTAACACAATTGTAAAATGTCATCGCAAGAGAAGACCCACCTCGAGCATCAAATGAAACTGATTCCATTGAATTTAAAAAGCGAAAAGTTGTGAAAATGATATAAACGAATCCGTGAAAATCCGTGATGACACCAGGTGTTCGCGACAAGGGTAACATGTGCTGCCCGACAGGTTAACACTAGCCACACAGACAACTTGCTTAAAATATGTTTGTTCTTAAAACAACACAGCAGTACTCGTACAGAAACCAGGCAATCAAGTGATTGGTCAGATGTCAAGTTTCACCATGACGGAGTTACATATTTTGTTGAAACTAAAACCATATTTCAATTTTAATTAGGTTTACTGCGTTCAACTTCAGAAATTATGTAGCCTATATGGAAAACCCGCCTTTTAAGAAATATGTTTGTATATTCAAAACAGCTGAGGTAAAGGTTAACACCAAACTCACACAAATTGCTTAAAATATATTCACCTGAAATCACACAGCAGTACGCGTACACAAACCAGACAATCAAGTGATTGGTCAGATGTCAATTCACACCATACCGCTATTACTGATTTTGTTGAAACTAAACCGATATCTTAATTTTTAATAAAGCTAACAGTGTTCAAGTGCAGAAATTCTGTAAAAAAACGTCGTTGAAGAAATATGTTCGTTTTTTTTCAAAACAGCTGGGGTTAGTTTTAATGTTTCAGTTCCATCATTTCATTTTGCAAAAACCTGGTGACATCACTAAATGTCGTCCATATGACTTGCATCGCTATTTTACCCTTTGTGCTAAATATAAACTATTTCGGAGGATCCATCCGTTTTATGTTTGGTTGTTGATTCAGCATATTTGGTAAATGCTACCAAGCCCATGATGAAATTTAAAGGACTTTAGTCAACCGACAGAACATCGAATCAGTTCCAGGAAATCTGAAACATCAACACCAGAAGAAAAATGGACACAATACTCACCAAGCAGACTCAGCGAACAAAGCACTAGCAGTACCCCTTTCATCATGTTGAATCCAGTGGATAAATCACGACAATGAAAAGCTGTCTTAGTCATTTATGCACTTTTCTCATATTTACAGTGCGTATCTTTTGTCCGATCTAGTGACTGGCAGCAGAGACTTTAAGAGAGACAAGCATCGCAAAACTGCAGGGAAACATTTGTGCTGAATATTTGCTCTTGTAGAGACAACAAAGATTCATAAGTTTAATCCTAAGTTAATCTCTCTCTCTCCCTTCTTCCATCTCTCTCTCTCTCTGTCAAATGTCCATCCCTCCCCTTCTCTTTCTTCCTCCTGCTCAGTCAATCAGCGTTCAAATCTCTCGCTCTATCTGTCGCCTTCAGTCATCGTTCAAATCTTTTTCCCTCACTCTCCCTCCCCCCCCTCTCTCTCGCGCTCTGTCTGTCTTTCTCTCTCGTACACGCAGTCTCACATTGTTCCAGTCTTGGTGTTTAAGGTGTAAAACGCGCGATTTAAGATACATAATGTCACTTCCTAAACTGGAATCAAATTGTCGAGTAAACAAACAAATATTATGTTTATAATTGTCAAACACACAAATAAATATTTTGCTGTATGTACACTTTGTGAACATCGTCATCGAAGCAGTCAAGCGAGTAGCACGGTAGTTCGGGATACTGTATCAGTAATTATACATAAATAGCGGAAATACCGCCGTAACAATGTAACCTAACCTTTAATTTAAGCTAAGTATACCTTTAAATAGGTCTACTTCTGACTAAAGAATCACTGATTGTACTGTCATGCATGTCAACTGTGGAACAATAACTTTGGAACTTTAAACAAAGGGCTCGTTATTCAATAATGACCGTTTCCTTTCCGGTTAATCTGTTGAACCAATTAAATGATTGTTGGAGTAGATGGGAAGCAATTAACATACAAAGCGAATAGGAGCGACTGGTTTGACTTGATTTTAAGTTAAATAGATTCGAAAGATTTGCAGGGATCTATGTGCCAGACACCATGTGTGTTCTCGAAATACAACCAGTTTGAACCTTACATATAGAGAACGGGAGTTTGATTCAAGGCATCAATGGAGGGACTTTCAATGACACTGTGAGGGGTCTGCACAACATGATAGAACCAGCGTTGGTAAAGAAATAATAGATATCCTGAAAATACAGAACTGGAAGCTATTATTTCTGCTTTAAGTGGCATTGAGAAGCTTGTATGATGAACAGGACGGGGCGTTTCGGTGTAGATGCTAACACCATCATCAAACAGCCATTGCAATAAAGTTGTCTATCCATAAAAACTCGTTCCTGTTTAAACGCTGTTATGTTAAATGACAATAGGGCGGCATCTAACGAATAAGTGTATTTGAACAATGGTGAGGATATCTTTGACGAGAATTTCACATCATGTGTAGAGGCGAAAGAGGTGGAGATCTCACCTACAAATGCACCATTAAGAGGGTCTTCTCTGCGAGTATATAAAGTGTTTAAAGCTTGAGTATTGCCCATAGCCGAGAATAGTAGGGACGGCTAAAGGTTAATTGTTAAATTTTGACATTTGTCCACCTCACGTCAACATATTACCACCTCTTTACGTTAACGTTATTTCATTCAAAAGTAAAAACAAATCACACAAGTCAACACGCCCAACTGGTTCACCGAATGCTGTGTTCTACTAGCAATGAACTGGCGGTACAAGCTGGAATATCAGCTGTTATCAAGATAGAAAGGGAGACAAATCTTTCAACGTTACTACAGTGCCTATCTCTTTCGTTTGTTTGGAAAAAAAGACATGTCTTGAAAAACTAATATTTTCTATTTTGCTTTTTGT